TGTCTGTTCGGCGCGGTAGATTTTTTTGATCTTGTGTTTGAGGCAGAGGGCGTCGATCTCGGCTTGAAGGGTGGCCTCGAACTCCTGGATGCGGCGCGTCGTGACAAGGAGGTCGTGCTCATGGAGGAAGCGTTCGAGCCACGAGCGCGACGCACTAAAGCCGACCGAAATGCCGTGGTCGGACGCGACTTCGATGGCTTTGGCGTTGACCATGCTGCGCGACACGGGGACGCCGCTGCCGCGCACGTCCCGGACCCACATCTTGATCTGGTCCTCGGCCTCGGTCGGAAGGACTTTACCGAGCCCCTCGCGCCGGTACTTGCGCTGCCCCCGGTGCTTGGAATGGCCTGCTAAGAGCGTGATCTGCGGACGCTGCCGGTTGGCCCACGATGAGATCTTCTTTCGAGCGGCTTCGCGCGCTTTCGGATCCGAAGAATTTGTCGATCGTTTTGTTCATCGAGCCGCTCTTGTCGAGGAAGGCGATGACGTTAAACTTCTCTTCGTACGTGTGCGATGCGGCGCGCACCACTGCGCTCTTGGGCTTCTTCTTCGCATGCTTGACCGACGGTCGGCCCGCCGGGTTGTTGCTCCGCTTGGGTGCCGGCGCCATCACTCGCATGACGCTCTTGGCTGGTCGTATTCATTTTCAGAGGTTTATCCGGTTATCGCTTGGATGGACAGTCCACGGTATCATCGGGACCAGTGCATCGCCCGCGCAACAAAAAAACTCGACCCAAGAATAAGTCTCGATCGTGCGAGTTATACGTTCCTCTCGCTATAAGACCCGGGCACTCTTTAGCACCGCGTTCAAATCCAGCAATGAAGGGCACATAAAAAGTTATGTACCCTTGCACCAACTGCACTGTATTCACAGCACAAACATGTCGTGAAGACGGGCGTCGAGGGGCACACACCCAACGTGCCCCGTCCCATGACGCCAAGAAACGAGCGGTGGGCAACGACCGTCAACCTACGTCCGTCGATTATACGCTAAATGGATTGAAATTTAGCGTCCACATCCCGCGGACGGTTGGTGCCGGGGATGGGTGTCGCTGCACGTGACACTGTTTAAACTAACAGCAAACTCAACAGCGAGGGTCAAAGCCGCGACGTTCTCGTCCGCGTTGACGCAGATGCGACACGAGGATTATCCGCGGCGACCGAAGGACCGACGCCCGTGCTATCCCTGGGTGACCTCACCCCACTCCCTGTTCACGAAGGCCCACGTTTCCGTCATCGTGCAGCCAGAAAGCGCGCGCCACACCAAACGATCGTCATTCGCGCGATGACGTCATCGCGTGACGTCACGCGATCCATGGCCTCGGAAAGGTCATTTCCCATCTGGCCACCGTCCGCAGTATGCTCGCGCCCAGTGTCTTGGCCACGCTGCCGCAACCGACGCTCATTCTCCAAACACTCCTGGCCATGGCGCTCGGCAGCTTCTTCTTCCTCAAGGCCAGCCAGCGCCGGACGCTGCCGCCGACGCCGACGTCCTACTGCGAGCCGGACGCTAGCACCGCCAAGCCCGGCCACGGCCCCGTGTACCGCGTCGGTCCGTTCCCAGAGCCGGCCTTCCCGTCGCTGCTCGAGGTCCTCCAGCACTCCGTGCGGTCGCACCCGACCAAGCCGTTTTTGGGCCGCCGGCCCATCGACAGCGCTGGCAACGCCGGGCCATTCGTCTGGGAGACGTACGAAGAGGTGTATGTGCGCATCCAAAACTTTGGCGCCGGCCTCATGCGCGAGCGCATGGTCGAGCCGCTCGACAGCACCGACAACATGCGTCTCTTGTGCATCTACATGAAGAACCGACCCGAGTGGACGATGGCGCAGTACGCAGCGTACTACTGCGGCGCTGGCATCTCGCCGCTCTACGACACGCTCGGTGTGACGTCGACCAAGTACATTCTCAACCAAACGACCGCCTCGACCGTGCTCAGCACCACGCCCGAGCTCCCGAGCTTGCTCGCCATGAAGGCGGACGTGCCAACGATGGCACACATCATCCTCGCCGACGTCGACGCCGTCTCGGAGGACGACGCTGCCTCGGCCGCAGCCGTCGGCGTCAAGCTATGGACCTTCAAGCAGATTGAAGGCGTTGGCGCCGCGTACCCTGCTGCACCGCGCTACCCGAAGCCCGATGACATCTCGATCTTGATGTACGCAACTTGCAGAGGCATGTGGCGTGTGCTTAGCCATGCTATAGGTACACGAGCGGCACGACGGGCGACCCGAAGGGCGTTGTCTTGACGCACGCCAACTTGCTCACAACCAACATGGCCTGCGACGAGCGCGTGACGGTCGGCAAGGCGATCGACGCGGTCAAGAACCACCCGACCTTTCTCTCGTACCTCCCGCTGCCGCACGTTGCCGAGCAGGTGTTTCAGCTCTTTATGATCCGCCACTTTGGCGCGCTCGGGTTCTACCAAGGCAACACGGCCAAGCTCCTCGACGACCTCGCGGCGCTGCGCCCGACCGTCTTTGCGACCGTGCCCCGGCTCCTCAACAAGATTTACGACACGATCGTTGGGTCGGCGTCGGCGGCCGGCGGCTTTAAAGGCTGGCTCTTCCAGCGCGCGCTGCGCACCAAGCTCGCGAACCTTCCGTACGGCGTCACGACGCACGCGCTCTACGACAAGCTCATTTTTTCCAAGGTGCGTACTGAGTGCGCGCGTCTCGTGTTCTCATGCGGTCTGCGGTGTAGATTCGCGTCAAGCTCGGCTTGGACCGCACGACGTTGATGGGGTGCGGGTCGGCGCCGCTCTCGCCGGACGTCCTCGCCTTCTTCCGCGTCGTCATGGACTGCCCAGTCCTCGAGGCGTACGGCCAGAGCGAGTGCAGCGGCATCTCCAACATGACGCACTACCTCGACTTTACGGGCGGGAACGCGGGCCCACCGATCGCCAACTGCGAGATCAAGCTCGTCTCGGTGCCCGACATGGGCTACGACGTCAACGACACGGAGCACGGCGACGACGACGCCAAGATTGCGGTGCGCGGGCGCGGCGAAGTGTGCTACCGCGGCCCGAGCGTCTTTCCCGGCTACTTTAAGAACCCGGAGAAGACCAAGGAGGCGCTCGACGCCGACGGCTGGCTGCACTCGGGCGACGTTGGCGTCTGGCTGCCGGACGGTCGCCTTAAGATCATCGACCGCAAGAAGAACATCTTCAAGCTCTCGCAAGGCGAGTACGTGGCCCCCGAGAAGATTGAGCTCGTCATCAAGGGCAGCGTGTACGTCAACCAGCCGTTTGTCTATGGCGACTCGCTCCACTCGGTGCTCGTCGGCATTGTCGTGCCCGAAGAAGCCGAGCTCAAGACCCTCGCGGCCTCGCTCGGCGTCGCTGGCTCGTTTGAAGAGCTCTGCGCCAACGCCAAGGTAGTGCTTGATCCTGCATCTAGTTCCAACTCATTTATCTGTGTACAGGTTGTCGATGCGGTGCAAAAGGACATTGTGGCCGTGAGCAAGAAGGGCGGGCTCTACGGTTTCGAGACGGTCCGCGCGCTTAGCCTGCACCCCGAGCCGTTCACGGTCGAGAACGACCTCATGACGCCGACGTTCAAGCTCAAGCGCAACGAGGTCAAGAAGGCGTTTCTCAAGGAGATTGACGCGCTCTACGCCAAGAGCGGTGACGTGGTCGCGGGCAAGAACGTCAAGCAGCAGTAGTAGTAGGAACCTTCTGGCAACGTGATTGTTTATTTTATCATACCATGTACAAAGTCGACAGGCACCTATTAACACTTGGAGACGCAACACACGCTGACACGATTGACGTTTTTCAACAACGAGGAATCCAATACTCCACACACATCATCTTCGGAACCCTAACCTCGCACGGACTCAAGCCATGGTCGCAAAGTACCCGTGGGCATCCTGCAGCAAGGAGGTCGGCGAATCAAAAGCAACGACGCGGCCGTGCTCGAGCACAAGGACGCGGTCGCTGGCGGCAATTGCAGCGAACCGGTGCGCGACCGTCAGGACAGTCGCACCCGAAAACGCTTCGGCCATGAGCTACACCGACACTGAGATTCGACGACGCTGGAGGAGGACCCTACCTCGCGAAGCCGGCGGTCCGTCTCGTGGTCGACGCTGGCCGTCGCTTCGTCAATGCACACGATCTTGGCCGCCTTGAGCACTGCGCGACCAATGCCGAGCAGCTGCGTCTGGCCTTGGCTGAGCACGCTGCCATCGATGAATTGCTCGAGCTGCAGCGGAAAGCCCAGCACGAGCGAGCGCAGGCCGCACGCGTGCAGCGCCGCCCAAATGCGGTCGTCGTCGTACTGGTCGAGCGGATCCAGATTCTTGCGCACCGAGGTCGCAAAGAGCATCGTGGTCTGCGGCACGTACGCCAACGCAGCGCGCAGCTGCTGTAGAGAGAGTGCGGCCACGTCCTGGCCGTCAATGAGGATGCGACCTGAGTAGTCGACGGCGCGAAAAAAACAGTTGAGGAGCGAGCTCTTCCCGGCGCCCGACGGCCCGCAAATCCCCACCTTTTCCAGCGCTCGGATCGACACGGAAACATTCGTGAGGCGGCCGCGCGGCAAGCTCACCTGCATAAGCTCGATAGCTCCACCCGTGACCCAGTCAACATCGTCGCCATCTTTCTCCTCTCGCCCTCCAGCTTCGTCAGGAAGCGCACCGTACTCGCGGAGCCGCTCGACCGACACCATCGCTTGCTCGGCCCACACAAAGGCCTCGAGCCCGAGCTTGAGCTTGCGGATGATGGGCAAAGCGTACATGAGCGTGAGGCCGAGGTACGCCGACGGCATCGGGTGGCCGCGGGCAGCAGCCATGGCGGCCGAGAAGCCCACAAAGCCGGCGACCACGATGCCCAGAGCGTCGAGGCGGATCGCGAGCCACCCAAGTGTGAGCGACTGCGCGAGCGAGACGCGCTGGAAGAGACACAAGTGCGCTTCAAACTGCGTCTGCCAGGCGGCTGCAGAGCCGCGCCCGCGGAGAACACTGAGGCCGTTGAGCGTCGCTTTCAAGTGCATCATGAGGGGCGACTGGACGACGTGGTTGAGGCGTGAGAGGTCGCGGGCCGGTGGCCGGTAGCGCGCCTGCAGGTAGAGGTACACGGCGCTCAGCGGCAAGAGCAGCAAGAGCACATAGACGTTGGTAAAGTAGAGCACGACGAGCGACCCCGTAATCGAAATGACTTCGAGCACGAGGAAATCCAGTGCCATTGGAATCATCGTGTCGACGGTCGACGTGTCATCGCCGAGACGGTTGAGGATACGCCCAATCGGCGTCGTCTCGTAAAAGCCCAAGGACGTGCGCAAGAGCTGGTGCGTCATGCGGTTGTAGAGCGTCTTGGCGGCGCGTAGGCTGCCGTGCACCACGAGGCCAATGTGCGCCGTCGTCATGCAAAGCGTTCCGATCGTGAGCGCAATGAGGCCGCGGGCAAAGGCGTCCGGCGACGTCGCGTGGTACGTCGTGTACTGCGCCGTCCAATAGTCCATGCCGTTCTGCAGCAGCTGGAGACTCACGTTCGTGAGCGGCCACGCCACGGCCGTGCGATACCCCATCGCCGCCGCATACGTGTGCCAGACCTATTACCCACGTCATCCCCACTAAGGGATCTGTCATCCTGCGTCATCATGCGTACCTCGAACGCCACGATACCCGATTCGCGCCGCTCTCGACGCCGCCGCGTTCACAGAGTGGTGTTGACGGTGCAGGCATCCCAGTGACCTCTTCCTCGGGCATGGCGTCGTTGGCGACGAGTGCTTCGAGACGGGACCCAGGTGTGGCGCGCAGGACGTCGTAGGCGCCGCGTTCGACGATGGCGCCGTCGTCCAGCACCAAGAGTGTCGGCGCCAAGCCGCGCACGAGGATGAGCGCGTGGGTCGAGAGCACGAGTGCGGACGATGGCGGCAGCACGGTGCGTAGCTCGGCCAAAATGGCTCGGGCTGTGCAAGTATCGAGGCCGCTCCAGCAGTCGTCCAGCAAATACACAGCCGCCCGCTGGTACAAGGCGCGTGCGAGGCCGACTCGCGCTCGCTGGCCGCCGCTCAGATTGGCGCCCTCTTCGCTCACGCGCAGCGTCCTTGGCAGGGCGTCGAGGCGGCACAGCGCCATCACGCGCGCATACAAATTCGGCTCATACTCGCTCTCCAGCGTCACGTTGTATTCGAGCGAGCCAGGCACCAGCCACGGCGTCTGTGGCGCATACGCGATCGAGTCGGCGACTCGGACGGCCGCACCGTGCACGCAGGGCATGTCGCCAAGGAGAGCGAGCAGCAGCGACGACTTGCCAGCGCCGCTGCGCCCGCACACGACCACATTGGCACCAGGCGTCAACGTCAACTCGGAGAGGTGCAGGCGGAACGGGCCATTGCACAGGAGCGGCGCAGTCAGCTCGTCGGTGCGCGTCTCGGGCGTCCAGCCAAACGTGCAATTGCGCCAGCTACTGGGCCGTGGATCGTCGTCCGTCGCCAACGCCGACGGCGCAAAGAGAAACTGCGAGAGGCGCGTGAACGAGACGTACGCCTCGCCAAGGCTGCGCGCAATCCACGGAAGATCCGTGATCGGCCCGACCAGCTGCTGCAAGAGCGAGATGATGGTGTAGGCGCGCGCGGCCGTGATCGGCTGCCCCGTGTACACAATCACGACAAAGACGCCGGTTTGGATCAGGAGCGGCGCGGCACTCGAGAGCACGTCGCAAAACGCCGTGATGATCTGCCGCAGCCGCAGCGCTTGCAGCTCGAGTGCCCGGACGTGCTCGAGCTGGTCCGAAAAGTACCGCGTCCAGCCAAAGCTCTACACACATCTCAACAGCTCGCACAAAGGGCCAACGACAAAATACCTTGAGCGTGCGAATGCCGACCAGCGTACTCACGCTGAGCCGCAATCGGTCGTCGCGGATCGCAAGCAGCCGCGCCTTGACGCGCTGGACGAGGTGCGCCAAGTAGACTTGCAGCGGCAGCATGGCGCCGAGCAAGACCAGACCACCGAGAAAAGCAAACGACACTTCGTCGCCGAGCACGACGAGCGCCATGGCAATCTACATGGGCATTTCCAAGAAACACATGCGGCATGCAATGCAGGAAGTACCTGCATCGGCAGCAGCGCCACGTCAAAGAGCGAGCCGGGGAGACGGACGATGACGGGCACGTCCATCGTCACGTAGTTGGTCACGTGGCCAATGCAGTCGCCGTCGCGCGGCCCGAGCGAGAGCACGCGCGCGTAAATGCCGGCTTGCAAGCCCGACGTGCACCGAATGTTGAACCGGTCTTTGCTCAGCGCTACGAGCGTTGATAAAACGCTGGGATACAGAACGAGACGTACAGTACTGGGACCGAGACACGGTGCGCAAGAGGGCTTGCAGGACCAAGGCCGACGCGAGAAGATACCCGTGCGACGGCGACGGCGCAGGACGACTCGACCACTCGAGAAGGCTCTACGCGCATGATGCGACCGATCTACGACGACGCGTTTCGTCGACGCACCTTGGTCAACAGCGGCGTCATCATATTGAGGACCGTGTTGCCGATCGACCAGAGGAAGAAGCCGCCAATGTCGCGTCCGTGCAAGCGCCAGAGCAGACGCAGGAGCGACGGGGATGTCGTCTTTTCCATCTCGTAGGCCGAGACGAAGCGCCGGCTTGCGGTCGGCGTAGCGTCGGCCACGGGCAGCGCTGGGATGTCGGCTGGATCAAAGGATGCGACGCCCATGAGCGGAGCCACGTACGCAAACGTGAGGCGGGAAAACCAATTGGCCTTGTCAAACGGGCTTTCGCTTGGCTGGAGGAGCGTCGCAGGCAGCAGCGCGAGGCCGCTGAGGAAGATCGCGCCGCCGTGCAGCCCGAGCTTCCACGCTTCGTCGGGCGGATGCTCTTGCAGCAGCTGCTGGCACTGCCAAAAGCCGAGAATCGCCATCGCGAAGAAGGCCGCGCGGAGCATTGGTAGGTCGCGGTACGGGTGCTCGGTCAAAATCGCAGCGTAAAAGAGGTACGCCACGCAGCGCGTGGTCGTGCCAAACATCTAGGCATGTGGTCGCATGTGCATTGCAGAGGCGGCCTACCTCGGCTGGCGTCACGGCCTGGCCGCCGAGGTACTTGACGACAAGAAACGACAAGTGCAATGTCACAAGGAGCACCGCGAGAAGGTACTTGGCCGGCAAGCAAGGTTGCTCCATGTAGACGCTCATCGGCGTGTGGAGGCAGACGTACATCGAGTACATGCTCACGAGGAGGAAGGCGAGCGACGCGCCTACGCACGCCCATGAGAGCGGCCTCGATGCAGTGATCGCACCGTCGTTGGCAACGACCGGGAAGCAGTCGACCGCGCCGCAGTACTCGGGCAGCATGCGTCCGACGAAGCCCAAAGATTTGTGTCGGCTTGCCTTCTCTGTTTTTGAACAGCTGTTGATCAAAACTCAATTGAGTTTGACATCTGACAAGTAGCGTTGAAATGGACGATGTTTTGAGTTGAGTTTCAGCGGCACGGAGAAGGGCTATATCTCAGAAAGGCCATTTGCGTGGCAGTGCCCGGGCACAGGACGCGACTACAGCTCCCGTGCTACTCATGCGTGGACACAGTGTCTAGATCGCAGTCTTCGCACGCTGGTGACGACGGTCAACCTCAATCTCAACGGTCGACACGAGAGGAGCACTGTTCCGAGCTCGGTCCACAGCCATCAAGCAATCGCCGGAGAAGCCGCGATGGGGGATCAACGGTGACGCCAGGGTGACGCCTTGCACGGGTATCCGAGGCGTGGCTCGATTGGGTCCAATATGTAATATAACCTCTAAAAGCAGATATACCGACCATCTTGATACAATCGCCATCTTGCAGCGCAGGGCTCCACGTCATGTTCATGGCCAATCACCGTTTCGATTCCAGGCGGCATGCAGGTCAAAAGCACGTTTACCTACCGTTTTTGTATCGATATGGAATAATAACCATAAATGTTACCCACAAAGGATCTCGCAGTTCCAAAATAAGCCCATCAAATCTCATCTTAGAAAACGGATTGCGTTGAGGAAATGACCGCGGTCCACGAAGCCGACCAGCGTACGTGGCAGACGCTGGACGAGGAAGATGCTCATGCTGCTGCCTAGTGCCATGGAAGGTGGCCTTCAGGGTGCAGTTCGCCTCGGAGAAGTACGGCCTCAAGTTCCATCCGGCCGCGCTGCCCGACACGGGCAACGGCGTGTACAACATCCAGCTCCTCGACGTACCCATCTCGGCCGACCCCGCGACGAGCGGCCCCGCGCAGCAGTACAACGCGGCCTTGAAGCCTGAGCAGCAGCACCTGTGCGTCTTCTGCTGCATTCCGACAGCCAATTGATGGTTTGACTAGGGCACTGCGCGCAGGTCTCTACCTCACGCACATCAACGACACGAACCTGCTCAACGTGCCGTGCGAAGACGTCATCCGGCAGTAGGACATGAAACGCGAGCGTCTTGATCAAGTGAACTCAACCAGCACGCTGTAGACTCACGTCGATACCGCGACCGGTCAAGCTGCGCTTCGTCGACGTCGAGGCGGGCGTCGTCACACTGAAGGAGCTTCAACAAGGCCAATACAAGCGCGACTCGTACTCGACGCAGCAAATCTCAGCGCTGCTGCAGGAAGTAGCCGTCGCTCCGTTGCCGCCATCGACGCCGGCCGATATTGTCAAGCCGTCCGAGCCTGCCGATGTCGTCAAGCCGTCGGTGGCCAAAGCCGATCCATCGCCGCCCAAGCGCGTCAACGTCGTCGCACAGTCGAATCAAGCGGGCGCCCAGCGCGCGGCCGACCACGTGTACAAGCTGATCCTTCTCGGTACGACCGGCGTCGGCAAAAGCAGTATTCTCTCGGTCGGTATCGGCGGTGCTTCGTCTTACTCGGTACGCAGAGCAGCATCGTCTTTACCCCGCTTGATGAAACGCGAATAGGATCGGCCCGCGGCGACGCTCGAGGCCGAATTTGGCACCATGTATGTGTCCGACCCCGACCTCTCCTCGAAAAAAGTGCGTTATACTGCCATCACCACGCTACCGTCATACTCATGCATCGAGGTAGATGATCAAGGCCCAGATTTGGGACACGGCCGGCCAAGAACGGTACCGCGCCATGACGCGGTCGCATTATCGACGGGCCGATGGCGCGCTGCTGGTGTACGATGTCGCAGACCCCGAGAGCTTCCAGAAGCTCGATGGGTGGCTCAAAGACCTCCGCGAGATTGCCGGCGACTCGATCAAGTCGATCATGGTCGTTGAAAACAAGGTCGACCAGCTCCCGGAGCGGTCGTCCGAGAACGACAGTCGCCCGAGCCAGTTTGTGGACGCAACGATTGTGAAGGACTACTGCCATGCGCACGGCCTCCTCTTTGCGCGGACGTCGGCCAAAATGAACTCGACGGCGTTCAAGTGGGAAGGCCAGCCGATCGCCGATGTCGTGAGCCACCTCCTTCTCAACGTACATGCGACGCAGCTCGCCCGTGGACTTCGGCAACAAGCCTCGGCTCCAACGCCAACAACAACAATGGCGATGATGCCATCAGCATCCGCCGCGGCAACACCAAGTCCCAAAACAGAGCACGTGATTGTGTTGCAAGATCGATCGGTGCCGAAAAGCAAGGCCGAGTGCAGTACGTGTGCGTCGTCGTAGGCGCTACGTCGACGCTGGTTTGGCCGGCGACGTCTCGGGCCGGAGGTTGCTGTTGAATTGGCGGCAGAGCCGACTGACGCAGAAGACACTCGCGTCCGTCTCCAGCGTCGGCGTCACCTCTTCCATTAAGTTGCGGTAATTCATGCATGAAACAAACGTGCCAAAGCCCAGGAGGCGCCTACATGGAGATCGCAACCAAGTGTGAGCGCACAAGGCGTACTTGAGGGCAGCGTGGCCAGCAAAGCCAGCGAGGATGCCTTCCATCATCGGCATAAGCTGCACGGACGCAACCAAGACGGGCGGCATGCTCCGGCTTCGATTGTGGACGTCGCTCGCCCGCGGTGTTGGCACGCCAGGCGGCTTGTAGCACTAGCCTATCATCAGCTGCGAGTTTGGGCCATTGAGATGGGCGTACCAGGAGACACGGCGTCTCGCCGCGTATCGACGTGACGATGTGCCCCGAGAGGCCGTCGCTGCCAGGCTTGATCGCGATCAGTGGAATGCTGAGCTCCAAGCAGATCTCGTTCACGTTGCGCGTGATAGCTGCATCGGTCACGGTCAGAAAGACCATACGCAGTGCGAGGGTGGACGGGCGCAATTGGCTGCTGCCCCAGACGTGCCACTCGCCCGCGTCCTTGGCATCGAGGCGGAGACCCTCAATGTCGACGTTCTCGTTAATCAAGCGCAAATTGGTCTCGACTTCAGCAATGCGCTCGTAGCCCACGTTCTGCGGCAGATAAAAGAGCTGGCTCAAATCGTCCTGCTGCACGTGGCGCGGGTCGTCATCGACCAAGTAGATTTTGCCAATGCCGCTAGGAAGCGGAAATATCCGACAAGATATCGATGCCTCGGATGTGGACGCACCTGCGCAAAAGGTCTCGGCGATCGCACACCCCATGCCGTTGAGTCCCACGATGAGGATCGCCATCGAGCTAAGGCTCTACACCACGAAAGGGAATGATTCGAGTTGCACCGTAACGCACCTCGATCTCTTTGATGACGCCTCGGTCGTTGTTGGCAAGGATGCGACTACGCCCACGATCAACGAGACCTTATTGTTGCACAGATGCTGCTACCTGTACGCGCCTCCGCGCTCATCGATGGGGTCGGGCACGGTCGAGCGTGGAGGGCGCTGCGGGTGGTCGGCGCTTGAAAGTACCCGCACCGCTACCGAATACGTGGCGGCGCTCGTCTCCTCTCGAATGCGTACCGTTTGTGAGCTCGTCGACCGCGACCTTGATGCGGTCGACGCGCTGCGCGACGCGTCGATGGAGTTCGTCGTCCTTGTCGTCGGCCATTTTTCCAGCAACGTCGTTTCACGCAGACCGAGCGCGATCTTATGAACGTATCAAGCAAACATATACATTGACTGGGCTGCGAGGGTGGCTCTCAGAGTCGATCTGGAATGGATGACATTGCTGATGGCAGATCTCAGTCTTTTATCCGCCCACATGCGATGGCCGTGGTCTACAGCTCTTCGTGACACAATGGATTGACGTGATTAGAGTAAAATAGGTAATACTAGTATGCCCTTCCCGGTAAAAGGAGAGTGCAACACATCTACATACTAGTATTGCACAGTGTATTGCATGCACTCCCATCCAGTTTACATACAGATGTTATTAAAGCAAGTGTCCACCTCGCCATTCAAGTGCCCGAGACCAACCAAGTCGATCTGGATCATTGCGTCACTTTGGTTTGTCAATGCAGGGGGAAGTGGCACGGCCGTTTAGAGCATGTGCAAATGAAGCTCCGAATGCAGAGGCTCTTAGGCGTCCTTCTCGGTCACATGACCGTGGGTCTCGGCGCGGCGTTGACCAAACTCGAGCTCGGTCGTCTCGTGACCGCGCTGATGCCGCGCGGCGCTTCCCTCGGGGGAAGATCTTGACGCCAATGGCAACTTGCTCAGACGTGTCCAGGGTGCATCCACAGGTCGAGCTTCGCGCGCCGACCGAAGAGGCTTTCGTTCTTGTACGCAATCTGGATGATGACGTTCGGGCTCGGCATACCACGCCCACCAAGGCTGTGCGCGAAATCTGCGGGGCTTTTGTTGCCGATGTCGTCAAGACTGGAAAGGTCATTGGTGCTGCAATATGTCGCAGTTGGGTCGTCACCTGATCGCGTATATTTCAAGTCAGTTTACACCGTTGACGGTAACGGGGTTGACCATGGCAAACGCGACCTTTACGTTCATCAAGCTTATTGCGTGGCAACGCGAGATCGTTCCATGGGACTGCACAGGGTTAACCTACGATTTAATGGGTAATGCAGGCAGAATGCATTGCCATTGATCTTTTGACGATCTTCCTGGATTGTGTCACTGGCGTCAGAAACGTAGACGGTGGCAACAAGGCGCTCGCAAGCCAACAAGCTGATATATATGTTCTCGTTTGAAAGCAGTCGGTACCCCTTGCCTTTGAAAGGTCGCAGAACCTACTAGTGCCCTAAAATCATGGACCTCTATGTTGCTTCGACATGTTGCTTTGAATACGTTTTTGTGCAGTTGATACGTTAAACCACTGCGACAGGACGAGTTCGACGTCTACGCAGAGAGGAAGCGGCTGATGCGCTCTTGAGCTTGGCGCAGTTTGCCATCGAGCGCGTGCTATCCCTTTCGGTGAAGGAACTATCCTGACGTTTCGATCAACCCATGAAAGAACGTTGCGGGAAAAGGATATGATGTTGTCTTGCACCGACTCGACGAGCTCTTTGTTGGTCTTGTCCAACTTGGCTTGCAGCTTGGTGTACTCTGGCCAGAGGAGTTTCTATCTGACAACAAGTCTACCAACCCCATTACCTTCGTCGTGGCGCGCAGCGGCTTGTTGCAGGGTTGCCGCATGTGCGGTCGCCTGCTCGTCGATTGTGGCTCGCAGCTCGAGCAGCATATGCTCTTGCGCGGCCAGGGCGTCGGTCTGTCCCTTCGCCACCTTCACCAGAGCGTTCAAGTACACAAGAAAAAGAGTGTTGGCGTACCGAGGTGGTCTCGCGGAGCGAGGCGTTGAGCTTGTCGACGGTCTCGCCGAGGTGCGCGATTGTTTGGTTGCAGCCGTCGCGAACCATGGTCATCTACGTCGCACCAAATCATGCTTGTGTAGCGAGACGCCCGGAACCTCGTGGAGCTGGCGCTGGGTTTCTTTCAGGGCTTGGAGGGCTTCGTGCCGCGCACCCATGGCATACATGGTTAGCTTGTCCTTGCGCACGATCTCGAGGTTGACGACGGCCAGCTTTTTAATTTCATCGTGGAGCTTCTTGGCCATTGCGTCGCGCTCCTACATAGCATATCCAAGATGCGGTCTATCCTCTTGCGTCGTCTACCGCCTGGATGAGGATGCGATTC